ACTCCGACTCTTCTACTAGTCTAGTATATACTCGTTGGACCGGTTGTAACACACCCAAACGCTCCAGCCAAAACATGACGAAGATATAGAGAAAATAGTTGCAATAAGTTCTCCGTGTTCCAATGCACAAATATACAAGACATCTCAGTTGAAGAATATTCTTTGCAATTCTTTGTTGAGGATATTCTTCGAAGATGTTTTGCACATTTGTCTCCATAAATATACAAAAGTAATTGTAACTACTTTCTCCATATCTCCCCAATGTTTTGGCTGGAGATTTTTGGTTATCCTTTTGTGGAAGTACCGGAAAGATGTAATCCGGTCAGTTGTAAACAAGCCAAAGAGCTCGTCGTCCAAAACCCTGTAAAGTGCACGTAAGTATTGGACAGCATATCATCCATACTTTCGGTTGTGTTTGGCGTCGAGCTACAGCCACAGTTTTTCAAATCTCTTTCTCAATACACATTCATGTTACACCCCCAAGGTTTTAAATTCTCCTTGGTTTTTCTCTTCTAATCAGACTCCTCTAATTCTTATGTAATGCAGTAAGCGGGTTGGGAAGAATCGAATGTACATAAAAAAAAGTGAATAGAGTCCCGCGCATACCTCATTTTTCCCAGGCCAAAAGAAGAAGAAAATACCGGCTTGGCACACGGTGGTCCGCATCTTCTCTACCCAGGTTCGAGTCATTTCACCGGCTGAATGATTTTCTGCCCCGCAAGAACTTAAATTCAAAGTCAATGGAAGAAAACGTCGACTCGATCCGCATCTGCGAACGATAATTTGCATTGTGCACGTTCGTGCAGAAGCCGCCTGTTCGACTCAGGCTCGAGTCTTACCTGCTGCCCCAGGCTTTTTTGCCGTTAAAGAATAGTCACCCCGTGGTTAGTCTTGGTTAAATATGGTACATGTCCGACACCTTAAATCCCAATTATAAATAGTTCGTTCAAACTCAACCTCGCCATCCAATACTACTCCCCGCACACATAGTCACACCCCCTCATCCACCAAGAACCTCAGCTGCAATCTCTCCACATACTTCTTGTAACACACCACCCAGGAGCTCAAAGTCAGACACCTATACACAACGAGCAAAATCAGTTATCAAGCCAAGCATCCAAATAGAAAAAGACGAATCCACAAGAAAAAAAACATTGAAGCGCGAAGCATCGTTGTCAAAAAAGTCCGGGAAAAAACGCGTAGCATTGTCCAAAGAAAAAAGCCCCTTACCTCCGTCCACACCTGCGCACTGCACCGCGCCCACCAGGCGCCGTTATAGAAGAACACGCGCGCGCTGGCCTTCGTCTTGCGGCTCGCCGGCGCGAGGAGCTTCTGGTGGAAGAGCGCGTCGATGCGCGGGGAGGGGAGGATGGAGGGGGGGAGGGGGATTTGGACGTTTACCTGGAGGGAGATCAGTTAGGATAAGAGTTGGGGGAAAAGTCGCCAAGCGAAAAAGCAGAAACTCGTCGACGGTAATGAGTTGGGGGGGGGAGGGGCGGTATTGGGCGATGTAGCGTAGACAAGAAGGGAAAGCGAAGGAACCAAAACCAAAAACAAACAAAATGTAGTAATGAGGTGAACAGAAAATAAAAAAGTAAAACTGAAACGAAAAGTTAAGGGAAATGCACCATACTGAGCGCAAGCTCGCCCCGCTCGTCCATGACGCGCGTGCCGAGCATTTGGGCGAGGCGCGCGCCGCCGCGCACGGCGGTGGCTTGGCAGTAGGCGTTGATGGCCTGTTCGCCGCCGAGCCAGGCGCGGAATTCGAGGGCTGCGATAATAATAATGTTAATATTCATAGGGAGGGGGCGCGAGAGGTCAGAAGTTTTTAACATGAATAGGGGGATGGAGAGGATGATATGAACGTTAATTAATGCAGCGCAGGGCGACGATGGAATTGCATGGGATGGGATAAGAACGGGCGGGGGCGCGATGAAACGGGACGAGATTAATCTTGAAGGACGAAGAAACAAGTAGTACGTACCAGCTGAGATGCTGAGCGGCGGGACAAAGTCGATCGTGCCGTTCCCTGTCGTGGATGTGTGTCAGCCACACATAAATATGTATGTTCATGATTCCCACAATTATACTGCTCCACGAAGCTCTCGCCGGGGAAGGCGCGGTCGGTGGGGGATTTGTACACCTTGGAAGTGGGGAAGGAGGACTTTACGATTCCTTGGTTTCTGTGGGACTAATATTAACAGGAGCACACTATGGAACGCAGTGGTATGAAACTGACCGCTCCGCGACATACATAATCGCGCATCCCCGCTTCGCGAATAGCCATTTGTGGCAGTTCTTTGGGCAAATTAACATCAACATTCTGAAACAGTAAAGGCAGTTTATTCCTCACAGAAACCCAAAAATCCGGATCCGCCCTCCCCAGATCGATCCCCGTCTCTTGCCCAATCGAGTGCGCCGCGTCAATAACACTATATACGCCCTCCTCCTTGCATACCCGGACCAATTCCTGCCACGGCATTAACGCCGCAGGCACCGAGATGACAGAGTCGATGACAGCGACAATCTTTTGACCGGCGTGCCGCGGGATGGCGCGCAGGTGCGCGCGGTAGGAGGCGACGATGTCAGCGTGCGAGGTGGGGAATTGGATGACGATTTGGGAGACGGCGGGGTGCGTCGGACCGTCATGTAGGAAGCACGCGAGGCCCTGAACGGCGTTGTATGTCGTCGTGGCTGCCACATATGATTGGCGATAATTTTAGGTAGCGTGCAGACGGAAAAAAACACGCACTGGTGACGATAACGTCCCCTTCATCCCATTCGAACGACCGCATGATGGTGTTGAGCCCGTGGCTGGTGTTGTTCACGAGGACAATCTCGCGCGTCTTCGCACCGACGAAGCGCGCAATCTGCTCGCGCGTCTTTGTGATGAGCCCTTCGCTATCCACGCGCACGAATAAATCCGGGTTGGACTCAATACGCAGCGTCAGGGCGTTGCACGCGGCCAACACCGGGAGTGGCAGGGAGCCGTAGGAACCTTAAATCAAGAGCGAATATTAATATCAATGCGACGGCAGCGCATGCCTGTCGGACGCCCACCGTGGTTGAGGTTGACATAGTCAGGATCAAAGGCAAAGTACTTGAGCATGGCATGCCCGAAGGCTGGCGGGTCTTCGTGGAGGGTGAGCATGGTCAGCGGGATGAGAAGATTCAAAATAGGGCTGCCCACCGACCTTTATGGGTTTGACGGGTGCCGTCAGCGGCAGGCCGTCCCGTCCCGTCGAGCCATCTTGCGAACATTTTAACGGCACGGGAACGGGACGCCATTTTGCCGTCCCGTCCGCCAATCTAGTGCCGTTGACGACCGTCTACGGGTTGGGCGTAAATTGAGTTTTCTGCTTCTTTAAAGCGACGAAAAATGCAATTCATTTTGACTTAACTCAGTCGCTATTACTTCATGATCTACATAACCACTCGAAGGAACCTAGTATGGTCTCACTGATTTTCGTTTGGAACTTCAACAACCCACGTGATGTGTCAGAAAGCTGTTCAATTAATTCAGTAATTGATTTTTCAGTTGAATAAAGCAGCAAAGCATGGGTTTTTAAGAATTAAGAATTAGAATTGAGAAATAATAAATAGCAGAATAGACTTGCATTTGGGTTGACCAATTGATATTCAGTTAATAGATCACTATTTTTAGTGTCCAAAGTGTCTCCCAGATAATTTTGGAAGCTCCTGGCGCCGTCCCGTCAATTCGTGTTTGTCTGCCATCTCGCGCCGTCGCCAGTCACAACTAAGATTGCCAAACTTAGGCACAGCGGAGGTGCGGTATGAATGGCAAAGTATAGTGATTAACGACTGAGCGAAACGCAACGTACGAGCGAAACACTACGTGTTTTACCACTTGCGCTGTTGTGATGAGGTCAGCTTTTTTTGAGATGGCTGAGCGCTCTATGGAATACATACCCACAAAAGGATTTGAAAAGAGACCCCCTCTGGAGTCCAAGAAAAATGCAAATGTTTGGACCACTATTTGTCAACATTTGTTAAGTTGATCCGACAATCATGATGAACCGTGGGCCATAAACTCAGTAAGATATGGGACTGACCACATCACGTGGTATTCTTGTAAACCTTTGTCCTCCTCGCACAGGGCAAATTTTTTCAAAAGCTCTCAGTTAAGACCTTCGGAAGACTCAGTACTACAACTTAACTGAGAGCTTTTATCGATTGAATGTCTGTAGAAATTGTTATAGGTATTTCTTTGTGTTGGCAGGTGGCACGTGATGTGGTCAGTCCCGTTTGGCCCATATCTTAGCCGTGTTGCGCATGGGGGTTTTCGAGGTCGTATACCTCAGATATGAACATCTCAGATCTTCAAAATATGCCCTCGACGTTCAATTGATGACGTTTAAGTGATCGGCAGTCTTAAAATGGTGCTTTCGTTCTCCGTGAATACTGCATCGATTGCCACAAATCCTTTTGCGCTCATGTATCTATGAGCAATCTGTCTTGCCCAGGAAAAAGAACAGAGCAGAAATCTGCCGCCGTGCCTCCGAAAACCGCCGCGCTGCTTGAGCGTTTCGCTCAGCGGTGAATCTCTATTGAATTAAAATAAAAAGGCACTGAAAGGCGAGCTGGATTTTGTAGTTTCAAGCTAGTAGACCCCTAATTCAGAAGGAGATAACATCACCACACCGGGCCGGGCCCGGGGCCATGTGAACATTTGTTCCTGAGATTTTACCTCGCAACCCTTCAGCGCTGCTCGAATTCGTCCCAATCGTATTTCGATGGCAGGCCTCAGAAAGCTAATTCCTTGATGGAGGGCATCATGGCTGTGCTCCATCGTGACTCGCGTCGTCATGGTACCTTCAACGCTCCTATCTCCGAGCGCGCTCGCCCACTACGGGCCTAGCAGCCAGCGGATTCCATAAAAAAAAAGTATAGAAGTAGAAATGACTCGATTCAAGTCAATCGAATCGACCAGGCGGGTTATTGTGGCCATTCCACTCTTGGTGGAATAGCAAAAAAAGAAACGACAATGGCATGATTCGAACATGCGCCCTCAGAGAGGAACAGATCTTACAGGAATTCGAATCTGTCGCGTTAGACCACTCCGCCACATTGCCGCCTCTCCACCGGAATTCAGTAGAGAGATGTCGTACCAAGTACTGCTCATGTCGTATCTTCCCTACATCAGGAAAACAAGAAATGGCTGGATAGTGCTCCATAGGCTTCCATAGCGTTTTGTGGCTGTGATGAACCTATGGGCTGCTATGGAAATGCTATGCAGCCCTATACATATACATATAGTGCTGCATACTGCTGCATACACGGTACATCTCGGCTATGGTTTTCCTGATGTAGCTTGTGTCGATCCTGGCCTCTGATTGGCTGCAGAAGGCCACTTTACGCGTTTTCATTGGCTCATCATTCCATCAAAATGCTACTTCCACGCTGTTTTTCCGTGGCGGCTTTTTGCCTGCTATCGGAAATCTACCTTGCTGTGAACAATCCCGATTCCATGTCTTAAACCCTGAAAATTTTGGTTTGATTTGAGGCTGTATCCCGTACTATTGCTCCCATAGGAACTTTGGGTTGACTGCCATTCAATCTGTGCAAAACATGCCTCATGACGAGTTTCACTACTTACAAAACTTGACTACTTAAATAATGACCGCTTTTGACACAGGTTCAATATGTGGCTTTGAATGGAACATGATGAGTGCTCCATGGTTTCTTGTGGCTCTTGATTCAGCTATGATCCCCACATAGTTATTTACAAAGTTGGTTTAGGGGGGCAATTATTTCTCAACAGGTCCCTGCACCGGTTGCAAAGAAATGCTGACGCGCACTCACTGCGTTCCAAGCCCCCCTAGACAGGCTTGTCTAGGGAGGAGGAGGAGGAGGATGTATTACTGCAGCGGTCCCATCAGGAAACAAGCAGGCTCTGTACCTACGTACAACACGTCCGTATGTACATTACAGACATCGGGAGCCCTAGCGCTTTGAAAGCCTACAAGTATAGATGTCTCATGAATAGACCGAACCGACGGGTGAGCTGTGAGCTGATTATCCAGGAACCCTGTAAACCACGGGGAAGAAACGGGGCGCAGAGTCTATATTCGCGCGGTACTTTATCCTTGTACCGTGTGGAGTAGCGGAGCCGTTCCACGCTGAGATTGTGATCCCTGAGGTACACCGGTCGGCGCTTTGCGATGTGCGGGGACGACAACCAAGCTCAAGTAATGCCGCAGGTGGCGAGTGACCAAGTTTAACGAGTTGCCTTCCCTGGGTTCGAACCTATTGCGTAACAGGTGAGTTTTGACCAAGTTATCGATGTCGAACTGCAGGTCCGCATCCGCGATGTCCGTGATGCGGATTATGAGGGAGTCGATGAAATCCACGGAGAGCAAGTCATCCAGTGAAACTTCGATTGGCGTCGGCAAGCGTCGCAGCATTACCACCAAATCTGAAGCCCACCCAGCTTTACTTTCTCGTAGGAGCGAGATCGAGTCCAGAAGCGCAGCATGAACAACACGGTCAGGTTGTCTGTCCAGCCGTGTTTCGTACCCCTAGACTGATCTAGGGGTCAGTCTAGGTCAGTGAAACACGGCTTGACAGACCCTAGACAAAGTTGACCCACTGAGTCTAGGGGGGCTTGGAATGTAGTGACTGTAGAAAATATGTCCCAAATTTGAAAAATGTCTTACGGCTTTTGGACTTATAAGCGGCTTATACAAGCTTATACATCAATTAAAAGAAGCTTCCAAGGCAATTCCAAGAGGTTCTAAGAATTTTTTAAGCTTATAAGAACCTTCTGAGAAGAAAGATCCCTGCTAAGCCCTTCAAATGTCATTTAAGCCTTTTTTTCTTATTGGAAGGCAAAAATCAAATTTGCGACAATTGACTATACTATAAAATCCCAAATTACGGCTTGATATTGCTGGAATTAATAATTGTCCCGATAGCATCTCCGAGCTCGTGGCACACCATGTCCACAATATCCGTAGCATTCACCACTCCCCTTCCATCCGACGTCTGGATGTTGCGGTCCCCGATCCCGTCCTTCACAACCACAACATCATATCCATAGTCTAGCGCGCTGCGAGCAGTCGTAGTAACACACACTGGTGAGATAAATATCAAAAGGCGGCGGAGTATGAGTGATAAATCGAAGGATCACCGTGCGCCATATATCCTTCGAGAACAACTTGCTTGATGCCGAGAGACTGAAGGGTCTCATGCAAGTCTGTACGCGCAAAGCTGTACCCAAATGCTGATTAAACACCTGCCTACCTTGACTACACAATTATACGCACCTGCTAATTGCCTTCTTCACGATAACTTTCTCGCCTTTAGTTGGCCTCACATCGCCGATAAAATCAAACGATGGGGTTCCACGGCAAAATACGGGCATATCCGGCCCAGCATCGTGCTGTATCCAAATAACGGGGCTTCCTCCCTTGCGGAACTTGCCCACCGTGGACGCAATCACTTTTTGCGCCTCGTCAATCCCAGAGATGGCCAATAAACCGGTGCTGCTGTAGGATTGCTGGGCGTCGATGATAATAAGCGCGGTGGAGGGCGATGATGCAGTGACATTGGAAGGCGTGAGACCAAGGAGCTGGCGAAAGGATTTGGGAGCAGACATGTTGTTCGCCCTAGTAATATTCGCTGCTTGAACTAAAAACCAACGAATATTACCTGAGCCTCTGAGTCGACGTGTTTTATACTCTCCTGGAATGGCAGAAGATTCAGCTGAGTTTGTCATGACCGAGTCGGGCATAGGTCGGGATCACTAAGCGTGCCAGTAGGCGCGCAGAACTGCATTTCAAACCAGAATCTTCTCTTCCCGCATTACGCCAGTCTCCGATAGCATTTTAAATTCTCGAGATCTCATGAACTTGGTTTTTAGTTGTGATACTCGCAAGAATTAGGCGGTCTGACGAGTTTGATTCATGGTTTCTTTCGACGATGGTTTTGTGTTATTTTTCGATCTAAAGACTCAGTTTGGATTTTTTAAATCTAATCTCGTGGGACAAACGGCATCCAGAGTGCATTACAAACGGCCCCAGGTCAATGGCCTAAACATACATCGGAATCATTTCCTCTCAAATTCTTCCCACGAAAGATGGCGTAGCCAAATTTTGGGTCACATCATGGTCCTCCAAGGCTCCACGACCCGAAGGTAGACTAATATAGCCGGTTGTCCCAATTGTTTGATCTGTCCTTCAGGACACATTCCAGGGTCACCGGAATTAATTGAGTTTTTTAGTGGGCTTTGATTTCCGGACTTGTATTTCGAAAGTACCATTTAGTGCTGGCCAAAAATATAATACGGTTGAATATATTTTGAATATATTCGGTTGAGTACAAATACGATACGGGCTTGAGGCTGCCCTGAAAATATGAATATAATATGATATGACCGTATTGAAATATATTATTACTTGAATTCGGCGCAGATCGCTTTAGGCCACCCTAAGCGTATCGGCATCGGTCGGAGTATGAAATCTTACCTAGCGGACTTGAAAAGTTCCGTCTGATTATCAATTCGGCATCAGACCCGCATTGGCCGCTAGCGTGTGTCGGAGTTTGACCACACATGTCCATTACAATAATGTGATGGACAGGTTGAAAGTTAGGTTCTCACCTCTCCGGCAGCATTTGCACCTCATAGTTTAAATGCTTTCAATTTTGTTCAACTTCCAGCACATTGAGAAGATTTTCAATTATTTTTCATCCCAGGGAAATCCTCAGAATATATTCAAATATATTCAAAATACATTTGTATTCATAGGCCTGAATATGAATACGATACGGCATTTTACGTATCGTATTCGTATCTGGCCAGCACTAGTACCATTCGCCGTCTTATCATGGAGTTCGCCAACTCTCGATATTTATTACTTTCCTCGCTACTGCGGGCTCCGCAGTCGTCAACCTGACCCCGAACACGTTCGACGCGTTCGTCCCCTGCGGTTCGTTGAATTTTTTCAATAAGCGCCCTCGCGTATTCGGTGACGTTTCAGCTGTACTCATCTCGTGGTTTTACAACTATCACAACATTGGTTTCATCATGGCTGTAAGATCCCGTATGAGCCCGTATGCTCATCATTAAATAGCCGCCGAGAAGAAGTACAAACGGGTTTTATTTAGCCGAAGCAATGAAGGGGAGTGGTTTCGGTCAGGATCACGGCTCCAGTTAGGTTTGGCTCTGAATCATGTTCTGCAACGTACGGAGGTCAGTCTTAATTTCAATTTATTAAGTGGCGCGATATCATTGAGACATCAGGAAACTGATGTGCTTACTATGTGCTAAATCCGATCATAACTTAAGCGCGCCCAAGTATGAATTGAATTGCGTTGCGTTCACGGCCAGATACGACCAAGACAGGGGATCAAATACTGACAAGATAGCCTGAGGTGTATATTTTAAGATATTTTAGCGCCAGAAGAATAGTTGCGCCACCTGATTTGCTCCACCACGCTGTCATTCTCCACACTCACATTAATATAGGCGTCTTCAGGCTCCTTCCGTGACTCAATTCCATGGCGTCCCCAGGTCCAGTTCCTGATTCAGTGGAGGGGGCGGCAGCAGCAGCAGCTATTGCAGCGGCGGTTCAACAAATCAAAGAAGTCTTCGCCACATCATTCATCGGATTCGCTGTGGCCACAGCGTCTGTGATCGTCCTACTCGCGGCGAAATTCTGCTTATAATCCGTTAACTGTTCAGTGTCTATGGAATTTCCGTGCTGCAATGTTACCTCTATTACCGAAACTATCGCAAAGATGCCGTCCTCCTCAAGGTGACGGTATGTGCTAAGACACGAATCCCGGCGATGAGCATGACTCCCTGACGCTACGATAGGTGGGGTGCCTATGGTACGTTCATTTTGTGTATGGCTCCCCTATATTAAAAGCAGTCAAGGTTATTCGACACGTTGTCCACAATTATGGTTACCCATTCACTTTACACCTACTTCGTGACGAATTTTGGTGACCTTGCTGCCGACGCCCTCATTCCTTGGTGAGAAAATTTGCTGCACTGTTCTATCAACATTCAAATTATTTTGTCCTCATTTCTAGGAGCTTCGCTGTAAGTACACAATGTTGGTGAGAGAAG